CAAAATTCTTTGCTAACAGCAACAATTCTGCCTTTGAGTTGTCTTTATTTTCTTTAACCTAGCTCACCTTGTGTCACTTTTGCTTTGGCTCTAAGACCACATTAGTTTTACTTAACAAATCTAAGACAAAATTAGGAAAAAAGATTTAGATAAAACAAGTAGGAAGTGCAAACAGTTTAAATTGAATAGGCAGACACCACTTAGCCTTCCTTACCAATAATTTCAAGACTCATGTTTCAGGATTAAAAACCACTTTCATCTTCAGAGGTTAATGATGATCACTGTTTATTTTCGGACAGCTGGCTCATCGCTTGCCCAGCCTAACTGTTCTCTTTATATGGTGCTACTGATATTCAAATGAAATGTTATACAGGATAGCAGCTATACCTACACACTCTTATTAGTCACTCCAAGGACCTAACAAGAAATCGCAGACAACAGACGCCACAATAATATAGATAGCATATTTGATCATCAGATGCTTCACGCAGACTGCCAACCCTTAGTAGGTGGAGGAGCAGGTGTCTTAACGATACTCTCCTCTTCACTGCAGCACCACTAGCAACAATGATCACGATCAGTATAAGATGGTGATATAGAACTTCAGAAACCACAGTGTCTGTTGGCCTCTGGCTTATTTCACATAACCAAGCATGACCTAGGAAAAGCCTAGAAGGATATAACTCTTCTTTTGCTCTCAGGCTGTACCTCAACACAGTTTAAAGGAGACTAGTGTACAAGACAGGACTGTGTGCTGCAGGAAGAGGTTTGAACCCATTTCCTCTCTGCAGAGGAGATAGTTCTGTCTATCTAGTGCCACCAACTCCTCTTCAGCTGACCAACTTCCAGATATAGGCACTCTGTTAATGAAATCCCTGTGGTCCTAAAACTCACTGGCAAGCTACATCTTCCTGTAGTGCCTGACAACCTCCATGAGCAAGCACTCCAAATGTTAGGTTGCATCTCATCCATTGATTTCTTTTGTCAGGAACATGATGCACACAATCCCAGCAAGTTAAAACAAGAACCTAAGTGGAGCCTTCCAAGGTCAGGATCCCTGTCTGGGCAGAATCCTTCCAGCTGCAGGGAGAAGAAAGACTAACAGCCGTGTTCGTGATGCACCATTTTCCACTGACTTCTTCCCTCTAGGGTATCTGTAACAATACTTACCTTGTTTTCTGTTGGCAAACTTGGCTGGGTAACATATTTGGTCTCAGAGACGTTTTGGTCTCTCCAACCACTAGCAACCAGAGGCCATTAAAAAATTCTCATACTGCCAAACAAAACTACACTCTGGACAGAAGTATATAAGCATAATTAAACCTGTTACCTAAGGGAAATTTTAGGTCACCAGTAGAAGTGGTCCTTCTGAACTAATGTATATCTAACATGCTGAAACAAATAGGTGTACTAGTAAATTATTCAGCATTCCAAAAAATGTCAAAAGGCTCACTACACAGTAACACGTTTCCTCCTATCACATGTAACTATAATGATTTGTGTGGGTTAATTCTAACATTGCATTTTATATTCACATACCACAAAAGAGACACATGTATGTTTCAGGAAGACAAGCTTACCAAAAAACAATATAATTTAAAAAAACTGGAAAATGGACTATTTGGCAGTGATCTAAAAAGGAATCCTGATTCACCATGCCTCACTCTTCCTCACAATGACAAGTCAAATCAGCATTCCTTACCAAGCTTTCGGGTTAGAATGAAAAAAAGGTTATTACGAAGGACAGACCATTACCATGGAACTCCACAATAAATTTTCTGAAAATTGAAAAGCACATTTTCCAACTAGTTCATTACTTCAAACAGAAAATTCAAGTATGATGGTTTGGGCCGTTGGTGTTTATTGTAGAACTACATACTTCAACATGTTGATTGGGAACTTAGCTGCAGGAGGCTGCAATCTCCATTATCAATGCAGAGCCTGTTTAAGTTGTGTCTCATTTTTTGTTTCCATATTGAACTAAAGCCCACAGCAGGAGATAGGAAATTATTATGCTTGGCTTAGGACTAACAATGATGTGTCATTAAGTTTTGATGATTGTCTCAAAGAAAAGTAGTTTTCAAGTCTGAACTTGGGGGACAGGCAGGGGACTAAGCAACAGATCATGGAGAGAAACTTTGATCATGTCTCAGGCTGATCAAAGGGTCACCTGATACTTTTAAAGAAAGTCTCTTTGGGCATTTTGGAGACAAAGGTATAACAGACCAGGAGAGAGACTCTAAAAGCAGATAACATTTTCAATTACAACGTAGACCATGGTAAATGGAAATTGGCTTTACAAGATAAGAACAACAAGGCATGATTTGAAGAAAAGGTTTGAGCAAGAGCACAGTACTGAATTCCCCAGAGCTTATAGATTTCAACACCAAGTATATTAAAGGTAGAAATGGCAAGAAAAGGTATGGTCATCATTATTTATTTTTCAGAAGAGTCAAAATGAAGATTCTTTTTAAAGCCATCACAAGAAATCAAGAATCCAGCTTGTGTAAAATTTCTGCCTATTTTCCAAACTTAGTAACACAGATCATCTCTGGCAACAGAACCACCAGATACTACAAAAACAGGCAAACATACTTTTCCTTGCCCCCAGCCTGGCAGCCATCAGCTTTTGGATTCAATAACAAAGCAAAGAAACCCCAATGGAATTTCATCCTCCAGGAGCCAGCAGCAACTCAGTGTACTTTTGAACAGATAAGCAATGACCAGCCAGAAACTGAGAGCTGCATTCTTCAGGAAAACCAAGTCTTGTCGAATGCTGTGCTTCAGAGACTCTGTACAGTCTTTGCTCTATCCATCCTTCTCACCTAGCATTTACATGTGGCACAAGCTCCTGTGACTGTGTCAACGAAGCCTGCGTAAATATAGTATACTACATGCTGAGCCAACTGCCCTAATGCCTGTTTAACCTATTTGAGTGGTAAGTATAGACTATGAACGGATTTTCCCAGTATTCCATCTACTGATGGCATGTGAGGCAGGACATTTGCTGTGAATGATGATTTGAGTCACCTCAAAATAGATACCATCACAGAGGTGTGCCTCTGGAAGACATCTGCCTATGAAATTCAACTGCTAAAGATATCTGCTATGACTTTATTTCAGAAAATGGGTCTGCTCAATGAGATAGAAGTTCAAGTATATTTGGCAGGCTATTCACCAAGTTTACTTAGCTGTCAAGAGCAGTAAGAGGAAATTCAGGAAGTTTTACCATTTTCTATGGTAAAGAAGTTTCCTTCTTCACATAGTCACAAAGAAGTAGAAGATAATAAAGGATGCTTGTGCAGCCCTGACAGACAATGCTCGTTAACACAGTGAGAGCTTCACTAGGAAACAGTTATTTGTACCCAATACCACTAACTTAAGACATACAAACCTGACAGACTAAGCCATAATCCAATCTAAACCTACAGAAAGCAGGTAAAACTTGAACCATCAGAATATTTCATTTCCTCTACCAGTCATATATGTGCCTAGCAAAGGATAGATGAAAAAAACAGCGCTGATCTCTCTTACACCATTTTAATGGCTAGCTCTGAAATGAAAGGAAGAATATACCCTCTTCACCTTAAAAAGACTAGTTTACTTTCAAGATCTTGCTTATCTTCTTTTCTAGATTACAAATTAAACTGAAAACAGATCTCAAGTTTGGAAGTAAGAGCTGCAAAGGACAGCAGGCCAAATTACAAACATGAATTATTCTACAGAAAGTACTAACAGTTCTTCTAATGTCATTCCTTGCTAAGTTTTACCGAGATGTACACTGTATTACAGTTCTTGCCTAGAAATACTAATTTAAATTCAGCAAATTTGAAGAACATACAGCTTCTGCCAACTGAAAAGTCCCAGACCAAAAGTTGCTATGCTTCTGGATATCGAGGCTATGTTCGTTACACGATGTTACACTCCTTTGCAGGCAACAACTAAATAAAAAATATTTTAGATGGAATAAAAAATGCAGACTAACTTTGAAAGGAAGAAATTATTCTGTTCACTGGATAACTAACACCTGCAGTGTTTTTAAAGTGTAAATCAACACTTATAAAAGTGCTCCGAAGTCAGGTGTCACTCTCTGAAGACATCCTGCTTCCACTTCTCTGGCTAAGGAATCTGCCAGGCCAGGAGATGCAGTATAGTTTCAATAAGGAAAGGGCTGAAGCACGGATATGGTCATACCCTTCTTAGAGGATTAGAATCTCATTTTTGATTAGGAGAAAAGCAAATTTCCTGGAAAGCAGAAAGCAGAGAAGGGATCCAAGGAACTGTGACCAAAGGGTCAAACAGCTATTCAGGCTATGCTCTGGCTGAGAAGTCAGTCCCAGACAGAACAGGAAATCTCTTGGCTATAATCTATGCAAACGGCATCTTCAGACACTCACATAAACTCTAGAACAACAAACATACTCTTAGTCATGATGTGGATCAAAATCGCATAGCTTAGTAGAACTCTAGACTTTTTTCAGGAACACTTTCAGCCCACGTTACAGATGGAATATGAGAGAATAAATAAGTGACTTGCCTAAAGATGCAGCAGTACAGTGGGGAAACCTCACTTCCAAGTCCTACTTCACTTTGACCCTCTTTCACATACTGACATTGCAAATAAACAACACACAACAAAACAATACATAGCACATTGATTTGTTGTCTTTTATTAATAAGCCCTTGCAAAGCTAAAATAAACCCTTTTCCCAGTGTATTGTTTCCAATGTCTTCCTTGATGAGAAAACAGAGAAAAAAAAGTAATTTAGTTCAGCATGATAAGACTGCATTTACACAAAAATGTACAGTAAGTAAATTTTTGAGTTTTAGCTGAAAAATGTCAACTCTCTAACAGAGAAAATGGCTGAAAAAAAAGAAACTTCCGTTTTCAACATTACAATACAACAATAAGCATGTGAGTATGCAGGGAGAGAAGTAGGGGTGCTAATATTCTACTGAAAAAGAAGCATAGTTTATATACCTGCTATGGTTCTACTCACTGTATTAGGCACATATGGCAATCCATAAACTTTCTCCTGTGTTTCCTTTAAAATTTCTGTGGTTGATCTTTTCAGAGGATGTTTCCCATGGTAGATTTGGTCCAAGACAGCATAAAAGACCTAAAGAAATAAAATACATGTTTACCTTTGGCACCTGACTTTGGCATTTGACAACCGAGAAATACAAATAGGGAAGGAAGGGAGAGGGAAGAAAAGGAGAGAGAAAAGTTTAAATATTTAAGGCTTCGTAAATGTTCAATTTTTAGTATAACATGGACAGAGAGAAACAGGTTGCTGGAGTATACTAAGCACCATCAACATGACCTAGCATAAAAATGTGTTTAGGTCACTGAGAACACTGGTAGTATTAAAAATCCTGAATTTTTAAGTAAAGTTGAAGACTTGTCCCTATACTCCCTAGACATTCCCTTTTAAAAATGTTTTAAAATAGAATTAGTGAAAAGATGGATAGAATTAGTAAAAAGACTGAAAGTTGATTCAAGTGGACCCAACAAAATAAGCCACTCCAAGATGCCACGCATGCGGCCACGAGAACACATCACGTCTGCAGGGGCAAGATATGGCCCAGGCAGTGGACGTGGCGAGATGCACATGGAGCTACTGATGCTTCCTTTGTCTTAGCTCCCACAAACAGAGGAATAAATTTCTGCAGTGTAAACTTAGCACGAATTTAAACTGCAGCAGTAGGTAGTTTGTCACAAAGGTAAGAGCTGATTCATCGCAATTTTTGTGCAGAAGCATGTAAACTATGGCAGGAACTCAAAGAAGCAGAAAACAGGTGCATGACTAAATGACTAATGCATTCGGAGATTAAGAAAGCAGCATCAATGAAAAGACTTTTCAGACAAAGACAGCTAAGCAGAGTATCTGGCACTTGAACAGGAAATATGAAAAAAGCACGCATGGAAACCAGTGCCAAACTTAACAAAATTCCTGCAATATTTATCATAGCAAAGGTGACTGAGAATACGACCAACGGAAGCACCATGAATAGCTCTGAAAACTACCTGAAGCAATAGCCCTAGAAAACTCACTTTCTTCTATGAGTCTAGGCTCCTGTGACCCTGCAGGAGTTATTTCAGACTGACTTCCTTCAGTCTCCCTCACCTCTCTGAAACCCCAAACCAAACACCAAAAACTTCAGCATCCGATCGTAAATTCTGGCATCCTATTTCAGCCAAGTCTTGATCCCCTTTTTTCTGTCTCTCTGTTCTGACAGGACCTGCTTATAGTTGCCTTGCTCTTCAGTGCTCCTCACAAGTTGGAGCAGACTACACTGCAGTGGACCTTCTCCACAGTAGAATTTGGAGTCAAGTAGTTTTGCGGTCAGAGAGCTGGAGCAAGCGCTCAGCTCAAAGCCAGGAAGTGGGGAAACGAGAACTGAAGGCCAGCAAAATGGGCTGCCTAAAGAACAATGTGGTAATAGAGAGCAAGGGAAATGAGTCACTCAAGCCAGCTCTAAGCTTTCCCCTATCCTGGCACATGTAAAGCGTGGGAAGAAAGCTATGAGCCAGGCCACCTGGAGAGCACAGTGAAAAAATCCATCCCTGAAAATAAACTTGGATGAACTTTATATCCATAAGCATTCCCATCTATGAACCACAGTTCTGCGTGTTTACACAGGGCCTTTGAAATGGGAAAAGGAGATACATCCCAGTGCCACAGGATTTTAGGTGATGCGGCTGAGAAGCGTGCTAACACTTGATATTAAACAGCAGCCAGAAGATAATTTCTACTTTCAGTATAACATATCTCCCAAAAGACCTAAAATATAGAAAGGTTATCTTTATACTGTCTTTCCATTTGACACTGACATCAGTATTAACTTGATTCCAGTTCTTTCCAGCTCCCTGTCTTCTTATTAATATTGAAGTGTAAACAGCTATGCATTTTCCAGTGAAATTACTGTGACTGAAAGACTTTGAAACTTATTCTGCACTGTAAAAGTTTTATGGAAGAACATACGGATTCTTGTGTCTTTCCTCTTTACTAACTGAATTACATGAGCAGGAAGAAAATGCAGAGATCGTATAGTTATGATGAGCACATAAAAATATGAAAAGACATTGGTTTTTCATCCGACTTATTTTCTGTATAGATCCCAAATGCACCTTTAGCCATTCTCCCATTGCTGGAAAATTCATAAGCATTTTTATTTCTTTTAAA